GGATGCAGGGCTATGTGTACAAACTCCGGGACCTGGGGACACACATCCAAGCATTCGAGTTACCTGACACAAAACCAAGCAGGACTGGGCAGAGTGCATCCCGGGACCCTCACTATCCTTTACTGAGAAATCGCACTTCCAGAGATTGTGCCTTTGGATTTTGTTTTCTTCCCACTGATTCCAGTTGAAAACGCACCACTAGCTACAAACCACCAAGACAAGGTAATCCTCCCCTGGACAGCTGCCCTGGTCTAGCCCAGTCCAAGAGAACACAGGCCCCTAATAGAGCATAAGACACAAAAATGGCTCCAGAGCTGAGATTTGCTAAAATCCTGCTCATTCTAAGCCTGGCTTGTTTATCCAACTCTATTCTACTCCATGAATGAGAAAGAAACCCTTTCTAGGAGAGGTTTGAGTGTTGCTGCCCTTGGTTGCAAAGCAGATGCTGCTGGCTGCTTTCTGAGGCCTCTTCCTCACCTCCCGCAGGATTTATGCTCAGTGGGTTTGAAGAAGCCGGCCTTCTGGGCCCACGCGCTCTGGGGAGGAGCTGGGCAGTTTGGGGGCATGCCGGGTTCACTCACTGTAATGCTATCCTCCCTAGGGCTGAAGCCATAGATGTCAACAGAACAGACAGAAAAGGGATGTAACCAAGGAAGAAATATTTTAAATGAGCAGTCTTCTATTTCACAATGGAGCTTTTACTTTCCCCAGCTCACTTGATATAAAATGAAGTATCTAGAGGAAACATTTATCTCTGCCCTCAAGTCTCAAAACACCAACGCTCATTAACTTTCTCATTTTATTGTTTCTGAAGATCCAAAGCCAGATGATCTGATTTATATGTATTAAAAGTTACCTGAGGCAAGGATCCAAGGGAAAGTCTCTCCCCTCCTCACCCTGTCCACCACGTTTCATACTATGTAAGGAGAACTACTTAAAAATTACAACCTGGGCAACCCCTTTGGGTCTCCTCCAACTGTGGGAGCTTTTCTATCCTCTCAATAAATCCTGCTTTAAAAAAATTACAACCCACTACATTTTAATTTTGGTAGGTGATTGTGAGGCCTCTGCAGTATAGGTAAAGCCTAGTAGTTGAGAAAGTAATTATTTAAAGTAGTGGATCTCTACCAGAGGTGAGTTTGCCCCCCATGGGAACTTGAGCGATATCTGGAAACATTTTTGCTTGTCACAATGGGAGGAAATAGGGGATGCCACTGGTATCTAATGCTTCTATCCGGGATGCTGCTAAACATCCTACCATGCACAGGCCAGCCCTCACAACAAAATGTCTGAAGCAAAATGTCAATAGTGACCAGGTTGAGAAACCCTGCTTTAAGGTTCTCAGCCAGTTTGCTACAAATAACCTTTATTTTTCATTCAGCGAGCAATGACTTGGGACCTATTATTATCTAAAGACATTATGCTCTGCCCTGGCACTGGGGAGCCTGCCTTTTCAGCATCTAGTGGAGGAAGGGCAGAGGTAAACGAACGGTGTAATGTGATATAGAGTATGGTAAGAGCCCGAGTGGAAATACAAATAAATACAGAGGATATGAGTTTGTGAGGGTGGGGTTTGGGGAGGGGGAGGAACTGATGTCATTTTCCCCAGGAGGACCACAAAAGGCATGTTTACACTCACAGACACCGTTCTTGCATATAAATTTGAAACAACTGCTAGGAAAGCCCACCCTTAAGCACTTTTTAAGCTATCTATCTTTCTATTTCTATATACATATCCTCAGAGAGAAGCAACTGCTTTCTTTGTGATTTTGCACCTCATCAAGATTACTTTCCTAACAATAATGTATTTCCAGTACCAAGGAAAATGCTTTCCTTTATTTATTTATTTATTTTAGTTTTCAGCCATTTATTTAAATATTTAAGGCAATTTTATAGAGGGAGGGTCTTGCTATGTTGCCCAGGATGGTCTTGAGTGCCTGACCTCAAGTGATCTTCCCATCTTGGTCTCTTAAAGTGCTGGGATTACAGGCATGCACCACTGCACTCAGCTTAAATATTCCTACTGTCTCCATCTTTCCTGTTCTTCTTGGAGGGAAATGCTTTCTTTGCTACTCCTGCCTTTAGTGCATTCTTTCTATCCATATCATGTAATTCTGTAGCTGCTAATTAACTAAGCAATGCATTCTTAGCATTTTTGTTTTGCCTCAGATAGCATCTTAAGTTTTCCCACAGTTCTGAGGATGCATCTTCCTAAACATCTGTTCATTGGCTTCTTTCTTTTCCAATACCAAGTGCCAGGTATGGAGCAGGAATTATCATCTCCATACTCCCTACTCCTGTTTTCAAACTGAGATAAGCCGTGGGACAGCACAAGGGTGCTTGGGAGGGAGTCCAAGGAGCAAAAGAGAAAAGGATTCTTCCCCTAAGGAGAATTAGTAACCCAACCAAACGAGTTTTGATCAAACAAAAGTGCGTCCAAGTTAGATTCACAAGGCTCAAATTGCCTAGTGGTCCTTTCCATGGCAGATACCATCGAAAATGATATATCTTCCTGGTCAGCAATATGGATGATAAAACTGTCTGGAACACTTTCATTGGCAAATATGAGCTCAGAGTTATGCTGGAATGGAAATCAGTTATAAAACAGGACTACCAATGCCATATCTCTTCACATAAAATATTCTGGGCAACCATACACATCAAAATCATTAATATATATCTTTGAGGCTCTGCTTTGTGAATATCACTACACAATACCAGGCAACAATTTGTTTGTTTGTTTTTGATTTTGACTTTGAATCTTGGCTCAGATGCTTTCTAGTATGGGGATCTGGGTAATTTAATACAACTTCTCTGAGTCTATATTCCTCCAATGGTGAAATGAGGAAAATCATACTTATCTCTCCAGATTATTGTTTATTCTACCAGTCTGGGTTCTATCAGGGAAAATGGAGACAATATCAGTTACTTTAACAGAGAGAATTTGATATAAGGAGTTGGTTAGAGCACCAGTTGCTAGGGAACCAAAAGAACAAAGAAAAGCTAGTGGAGCCAAGCAGGGTGGCTCACTCCTGTAATCTTAACATTTTGGGAGGTGGAAACAAGAGGATTGCTTGAGTCCAGGGGTTTGAAAACAACGTAGGCAAGTTAGTGCAACCACATTTCTACAGAAAATCAAAAAATTATCTGGATGTGGTGGTGTGCACTTATGGTTCCAGCTACTTGGAAGGCTAAAGTGGAAGGATTGCCTGAGCCCAGCAGCTCATGGCTATGGTGGCCATGAGCATACCACTACACTCCAGACTGGGCAACAGAGGGAGACTCTAACTCCAAAACAAACAAACAAAAAACACCAGTGATGAAGCAGCTATCTCCCCAAGGGCTGGGAGAGCAAAGGGCAGATGTTGGGATGATTAGAGACTGGATATATGAAAGAAAGACCCTGTGGAGCTGAGACACAGACTGCTGAGGAAGTGATAATAGCTTCTGAGATGCTGTAATTGCAGAAGCTTGGCGATCTACAGAGCTGAGCCTCAGCTGGCTCTGAGAAGGTGCAAAAAAACATGGACCTTGGAACCAACTGTCACTGCCAGGGCAATAAACAATCACCAGTGATATTCTCGGCAAGTACTCAAGAAAAAATAAGTCCTTCTTCAGTTTCAGCCTCCATCTTCCTCTGGTACCTTGACTGGCAGATGGCAGAGGAAAAATATGAATGCAGAGAGCCCCAGCTACACAAAGCAGAGAACAGAAGGCTAGACTTGGAGCTGAGAAATGGATAACTTAATGTATAGCCCATCCATCCCTTCATTGTGTTTGTTTATGGAGTGTTTACCATGTGTTGGGCTGTGAGCCTCTGTGCTAGGCACTGGGGAGTCTGAAAAATTAAATGGAAAACTCTTATAAAGTGTGTGGCTCAGTGACTGGTACAAGGTAGATCCTCTGTTAAAAATAACTCTCCTCTCTCAGGCCCAGTGGGAAGCATAAAGGAAAAGGAGGTGGAAAATAAAACAAAACTAAAAACCAGCTCTGGCCCCTAAGGAATCTCATGTTTAGATTAAGTGTTGTGTGATAAGCCACATAGCAAATACAAAGCACTACATGTTTGTGCACATTAAAAAGAATTTCAGACAATTTCAAAGAAGCAAAAGAATATTTGGGGGACTATCAGAGAAGCCTCTACAAAGACAGTGGGAACGAGCAAGATCTAAGTATTTAGACAATGGTCAATACTCCCATTTCAAATGAAGAAAGCACATGAGCAGATCAAGCCTGGTGGGAATTTGATGGGTATGCGTGTTGCCACCCTGGTCTCAAGGAATGGAGGATGGGTTCAAAATGCAGAGTAGGGAAGGTGGGCCAGTAGAACATTTCTGGGCTTTATACAGAGACATATATGAGCCATTGGGGCCTTTTGAATGAACAGAAGTTATGTGCAAAAATATCATCTTTGTAGCACCTATTATAGCTAATGAAAAAACAAATACCTTGCATATAGTGGAATGTTTGGAAAAAATGTATTACATTAAATGGGATGGGATGGGATAGAATGAAATGGAATTACAAAGGCAGGTCTTAACTTTGAAAATTCGTACATCCTCTCTCTCTATTTTAATTATATTAATAAATACTTCATGAAATATTTTGTGTAATCAATGAGTAATTTTAAGGCCAAAAGTTCAGTAACTGAAAGAATCCAATCAATGACAAAATTTTAAATGATAAAAAATATTAACAAAGTTATAGCCCAACCAGCAAGACACAGTGCTCATTTCATGGATTAAGACCCTATTGTCAAAGAAAATATGACATAACCAACTCACACTGACCAACTCCAACAGTGAACATGACATTGACTTTGAAGAGACTGGGAGGAGCTGGTGAAAATGTCATGAACTTCTACCTAAAAAAAGTGTCGGGCAATATGTTTTTTAATACATTTAATGATTCATGTAAAAATAATATCAGTATAATTTTTAATATGAGTTTGCGGAATATATAATACACTCACAGTCAATTTCTTGTTTTCTTCTTGGCAGATCCACTACAGGATTTTGGCTTTTCTGTTGATCAGTGTTCCAAACATTTAAAACCAAATATCAACATTAGATTTGGAATTATTCTGAGTAAGTAAAAATTATTAGTATGAAATAAAACATTGCACAGCCTCTTCTGCCTCCACACACCCAATGACATATTAACTATAATGGCTGACTAGACTACTGTTCCCTCAACACTCTCTGGAATTAACTTCATTTCCATCTTCATTTTCAAATTTCTCTCTGGGTAATATCCAGGTAGGGCAGAAATCTCATTTAATGCTGTACTTTTGTACTAAGAAGACTCTAGGTACTCATTTGGATGATAGAAGCACCTAGAATCAGTATACTGAGCCAAAAAAAAAAAAGAAAGAAAGAAAGAAAGAAAATATTTTGAGACTAAATATTGATGTTTACTCAGGAGAGAGCTCTTGCTTAGTTATCTCAGCAACAAATAAATGTACTACCAACAGCATGGTTTGTCATACATGCTATTCTGTGTCCCTAGTAGCTAATATAAGTTCTTAAACCTTGACACAGGCAAAGAAGAGATGTAATATCTTCTCCCCTACGCAAATCGATGAACTAGAGCACCTTTGATTGTTTAACTTTTACATGATCATCCCATTACAGTTAGTAAATATATTTTCTATAGCTAATAGAGTATCTCCTTTTCCAAAACAGTTTTGATCAAAACCAGAGCAGAAAGATTTAATAAACTTAGCAAGTAGAATCAGAGAAAAGAGGATACGTTCCCAGAGACCAAGAACTCTCATGCCTCTTTGTGTTTCTAAAGCCTTACACAATGTCTAGACTCTATCAGTAACTCAAGAAACGCTTTGGGGAAAGAAAGAGAGAAAAGAGGAAAGGAAGGAGGAGTGGGCAGAGTATCAAAGGGTGGAATGGAGAAAAAGGGAGAGAGTTGGAATTGGAAGTCACCACCACAGAGCCCCTTGAAGTTTCCTGTGTAGTGTGATGCAATATCTGCCTGGCAACAGCAGCAGGAGTGTACAGGCTTGGCCATGCTCCCACTGCTATCATGAGATATAAATAATACTATGTAACTGAGAAGTTCTAGAAGCGAGAACTGCAGACATTACGTTGAGGGGCCATCACATCAGGGTAAGGGAGGCACAGCAGATTATCTTACCCCAAACAAGTAAACTTTGAGAAAGGGTCACTTTTGATGCCCAGGGTTATCATCATAATCCCCTGTAGCATTGCCTAAATGCTGTTTTACCAAGAAAGAAGAAAAATGTTCTCCATACAGTGCAGACTAAGGGAAACAAAAAGTTCTTTGGCTCACGCTGTTAAAAACTTTGAATGCCTTTGATATACAGTGAAACACACAATAATATTATTGGCTCTCCTCTTTCCTTCAGGAGAAGACATCAAAGAGCTGTATCTTGACCTTGCTCTCTTCTCTAAAGGATCTTCTGTTCTGAACTTCTCCTATCCTGTCTGTGAGGAGAGTCTGCCCAAGTTTTCTTTCTGTGGAAGGAGGAAGGGAGGTAAGCCATCTGTCCTGCTCACTGCTTGAAGAAGCCCTCAGAGAGATGAACAAAGCTTGCATCCAAGCTTGAGGAACCCAGGCTAGAGTCCTGGGTCTGCTCCCCACCCTTGAACAAACTTACCCTCACTTCTCAGCATCTGTTATGTAAAAATAACAGTAAGGCCCATCCCATAGGCCAAGCTTACAGGGCTGTTGTAAAAGTCAAAATGAAACAATGCATATGAGATGCTTTACAAACTGAAAATTGTTACTGTGAGCAGCAATACCTTACTAAAAGGGTGGACAGCAGAAAGAACCAAGAGCTTCCAAAAATACATTGAGTTTGAAGGTATTTCCAGGTTTCCCTTCAATAACTTCTTTGGTGGCAGGGTCTCCTCAAGATAGCAATGGAAGCCGGGCTCGGTGGCTCAGCCTGTAATCCCGCGCCTTTGGGAGGCTGAGGTGAGTGGATTGCCTGAGCCCGCGGGTTCGAGACCCGCCTGGGCAGCGAGTCCTCATCTCTACAATAAATCAAAAAATCAGCCGGGCGTGGTAGCGCGCGCCTGTAGTTCCGGCTACTTGGAAGGCTGAGGCGGAAGGATCGCCGGAGCCCAGCAGGTCGAGGCTGCGGTGGCCGGGAGCGGCCACTGCACTCCAGTCTGGGCGACAGAGTGTGACTCCAACTCAAAAAAAAAAAACAAAAAAAAAGATAGCAATGGACTTTGAAAAAGAAAAAAAAATGAAACCCACTAAATGTCACTGCCTTTCCCATTTGAATCATTGACTGACAAGGGCATCAGGTAGTTAAACTCAAAATACAGAAGCAGAAAGTCCATTAGTAACTGTCTTTTCCCCAGTGCCCTAACCCCCTGCCCCCAACACACATACCTCCCAAAGAGGGCAGGCAACCCCACACCACTGGTCTCCATCTCTCCTCTCCTTTTTGTCCCCACCCACCGGCTTAGCTAAGGCCCTGAGATGCCTCTATCGGTTAATTAATACCTGAGTCTGTGACTGCCTTTCCTAAGGAGTTGTGCTTTTCCAGTTGCATCCTCCTTCCCAGGGCCTCCTTCTGCTCTTAGTGCCCAAGAGAGAGCATGCCCCCAACCTTCCATCCCAGAATTACCCCCTTACCTATTTCCTCACTCAGGGAAGCTAGACTTTTAAACAGTAAAGTTTCTTGTGAGATATCCCAATTATCCTTTTTAAATGAAAGATCTAGAAGTTTCTTCTCACACTGAAGGATACAGACAAAAGAAAACAGGGAATTTAAGGGAGGGTAGGCCAGAGGGAAGCTGATGAACTTTGCTGTGATCTGTAGAGGATTCAGCCCCCTGTTCACCCTTCTCTCTCCTCCCCCAAGGGTGTGGCACTTCATTTAGCATTTGTCATGTTTTAATATTATTGTTGGGTGGGGTGCAGTGTGATGCTCTATGTGTTCTTTGAGTCACCACAGAAAGGAATTTCAGAATGGTCCAAATATGGTTTTAAGATAAAATCTATAAGACAGAGAGAAAAGGAGGCATGCTGGATAGGCATGGGAATCTTAAGAGAAAGAATACGCTTTTGCTTTTGACAAGAAGTTTGATATAACTGTACAATGATTATTATGGTAACCATGAGATAAAGGGTTAGCTGTAGGTATCTAGTTTCTATTACCTCTCCATCTTTGATGAGCTAAGGAGTGGGGTTTTCCTGAGCCCATATTTGCCTTCAAAAAGGAACCTGATCGACTTTTACAGTGATTATTATGCTAAGCATGAGTTAAAGGTGGACTTCTTACCATTTCTCCACCTTTGATGGGTTTCCCCTTTGGTGAGCTGATGGAGTGGGTTTTCCTGAATGTGCATTTGCCTTCAATGGGGAACTTGATAGCCTTTTACAGCAATTATTATGTTAACCATGAACTGAAAGGGTGGGCTATATTGGTAAGACCACATTCTAGCCTGCAAGGTAGTCAGGTCTAGTATGCCAATAAGAAAAAAATGTCTGAATGCCTATTCTATTTTAAAACTACCTACAAGAAATTTGTCTATCTGTGTCTAACCTACCTCAATATCATGGTTTATAATTAACCTACCTCAATATTATAGTTTATTCCCACTTGTCATCCCCATTAGACTATGAGCTTCTTGAGGGTGGGATCATATTGCCTTTGTCTTTTTTTTCCCAGTATGTCAGATGTGCTGGATACAGTGGGAGCACAAATGGCGAATATTATTGTGCATTTGCACCAGGTCCTGTTCTAAGAGTTTAGATCCAATAAGCCCACTGACTTCCATCCCAACCTTATGAGTTAGTATTATTAATACTCCAACTTTATAAATCTGGAAACTGAGGCACAGAGTCTTTATGAATTTGCACCAAGTCACAGAGTTGTGAAGGATCCATGGCTTGAATCCTGGCAGTCTGGCTCTCATCTTATCATCTAATGAATGCATGAATGAACAAAACAACAAACAATGAAACATACTAATGTGTCTTTTGACCAAGAGTTTATTTTAAATTATCATCTAAGAACTCATCCTGTCCAGTGATATGACTGTCTCAAACTGGGACGTGGAACATCTTTTTTCTTAGTGAAGCCACCGTAGAATGAGAAGTCAATTTTCTTCTCTCAACTTGATTTTTGATTAATCAAATGCATGCATGCATTTCTTCAGCATGGTGAGCTCATCATTAACCCGTCCCTATTTATCCTTTTCTACCTGCCCTGAGCTGAGATGACCTCAAAATGTTCATCCACCATCAGCTCTTCTTTCCTTTCTTCCCTCCTTTCTGTCCTTCCCTACTTCCTTTCTTCTTTCCACAGTAACTCCATCCTACTCTGTGCCAAGTGCTTTGAGGAACCTGGTGATGAACTAAGAATGGTTTCTGCCTTCAAGGGCATTATGATTGACTAGAAGAGATTAGAGACTTACAAAACAACTGTTCCAGATTGCTGTGTGTGGTGTGTACATTAAAGAGATACAAACAAATGCCAAGTGAATTTGAGAGATAGAATTCATTTCCAATGGATTCAACCTGTTGGAACAAGGGCAACCTGAGAAATTGAGTAAAGAGTTACTTTTCTTTTTGCCTTAAAATTATTTGAAGCCTGCTATGGGGTTTTCAGCATTCTTCATGCACACACATGTGTGTGCACTCAAATTTGGACATAACATAACTACAGCTGGTGGTCTGTAAGCATTCCTGATTTTATAGGATGTTTTGAAGGAACTCAAAGCATCTTGAGCTGATAATTAAATAACAACCACCAGGAAAGGTTAACAATTCCATAGGCTGTCTTCTATAGCCAGTATCTGTAGTCCTATCTCAAGCCTTTTGCTTACCTTTCCAATTTTCCCCCAAAATAAGCATCTGTGCATTCTAATGTGGAAATAGGCATATTTGGAAGTACTGCCAACTTGGCAAGAAAGGACATACACCAGGCTGTCCCTCTGCTCCCTGAATCAGGTCTTCCTACCTCCCTCCTGAGCTATGCAAATAGCTTCCTACCTGTTCCCATGTGGTCATCCACACTGCTGCCAGGTGATCTCCTCAAATTCTGGTCTCATAAGTCTCCCTAAGAGACTTCAAGCGTTCCCTTTCCTGGAGAATTACCAAGTTCACCATAAATTTGACTCCAGCTACTTCTCCAGCCACATCTTGCTCCTTCCCCCATATACCCCTTTGGCAACAGTCTCGACAAATTTTTTGCCACTTTTGCATTATCGCCTGCATTTTAGCATGTGTGATGTTACACGATGGTCCATTTAGCCACTAGGGCCCGCTCCCATTTTTCTTTCATTCAGACCTAACTCTGGTATCCCCTTCTTCCAGAAGCCTTCCTCCAACACCAACCAAATGAAGCGCTCACTCTGGGATCTCCAGGAGTATCATGTTCTACTTCTGCCATAGCCCTTATCTCAGCTGGAATTGAATTCTATAGTTAGTGCGTGCATCTCCCCCCATTAAACTTTGAACTCCTTAGTGGTGGGAATATTTGCTGCTCATATCTGTCTCTGTAGAAAAGAGAGCTGGCACAGAGTAAAGACACAGTAAATATTTGCTCTATTGCATTTGCATATGGATGTAGGATGGATTGAATACAAGTATGCCAGTCCATTTCAAAAGTGACTAAGGATGCTTATGCACATCACAGAGACACAAGGCACATCAAATCTTAGCAGACTTGGTGTTCAAGAAAATCTTGCTATTTTTTCCTCTGTGCATGGTTTTAAGAGAATTAATAAAACAGAAGAGATATTGTTCCCTCAATCAGTTGGAGGCATCCAATTCAGCTCAACAGCTCACAAGGCTGGTTTTTGCCTTATTTGAATGCTGGGCAGCTCTGCAGACATTTATTTGTTTTATTGCAATGGGGATGTTGACTGCACAGGCAGGCTGAGAAGCTGGCATTTGGGGAATTGCCAGGAAACTCCATATAGTATAAAACGATCAGAAAAGTGATATACAAATGCTGCGTACACAAATAATTATGTAAATTATATAAGGCAGAGAAACGAAAATCTTAAATTCAGAGGCTTCTTGGGTTATTAAATTTTTTAACCCACCCACAAACCTTCTGCAAGAATGATTCTATTCCAAAGAAGTGATTAATAATAAGACCAGAAGGGGGAAAACATGGCACCAGGGAGAACTGAAGTCAATCCAAACCCAAGCACAAGCTGCTGTTGACATATTCCGCATGAAATGGAGTCTCTCTGGGGCTTGCAGGTCCTTCTCAGCAGAGTGGTGAGAAAACTTAGTGTCCACTGTGGGCGGCACATTATGGTGTCAGTTGCAGTTGAGTTGTTTGGTATCGTTTTCCCGGTATCAGTATGCCTTGCTCTGCAAACAGTGTCTCACTGGCTCTGCTCCAAGCCAGATAAAACTACAAAATGGGTCAGGCTTAATGAGACTGTGGGTACAAAGTGCTGTCTCCTTTTCCTCTGCATAGTCCTCAGCTAGCTCTAAGGCAAGAAGCACATTCGAGTCAAAGACCAAGTGATGCTCTTTTGGGATCATCATTTATGG